TTTTTTACATTCAGTTTGGGGACTAAAAAATGCCTTACACTGAGGAAGGCCGTTATCTGAATAATGTGTTTGCGCGAATATCACGTGAGGAGCAGGGCAAGGAATGTTTTGGTACATCTGAACACATAGCAGAGGTGGACGGCGAAGTTATTTTGAATCTAAAATCCGATATAAAATATCGGGTGTACAAATGAAAACGTAAATTACATTCCGCTTCGTATTACTGTGAACTGACAGTTCACATGCAATAAAGGTGTTAGTGGTATCTATTTGAAAAATGGAAAAGTATATATTGATCTTTATACCATGCATAAAAACTGTATAAATAATAATAGCAAAAGCCCAAAAGATCTGAAAGTCTGAAATATATCAGGTCATACATGTAAAACATACACGCGACGTACAGTACAATATAGCAATTTAGGCAATCTTACGCGCGCCTTTTTAGGCCCTGTTTACAAGGAGAGAGGGTTACCCTTGTGCTAGGGTTGCCTCATAGCACGGCAAGCTTTGCCATGCTATGCTAGGGTAACCCTATTGCTAGGGTAACCCTAGCACCAGAGTTACCCTCCCTCCTTGTAAACATGGCCATGTCCTTTTAGGTAGTCAATATGCAAGCTTAGCCCCTTCTCTTCACGAGATATATTTCTTTCTTTAACATCACTAACTAAGCCAAATTTCACCTAATTGTCGCTTTAAAAACTCTATAGAAAAGAAAATTCACGACCTTTCGTAGATAAGAGCCATTAATAATAGCAAAAAAAGTGCTCTCACTTAGCATTTAGAATGTTTTGTACTCTCCTTACAAATGAGAGTGACATTTAAAATGCGTTTCAAGCGAAAAACAAAATTTGCATTTGACATCAGTTGACTTTTTTCAAAGATACTACTTGACAAGAGAAAACTAGAAATATGTTAAAGGACTCTTCTAGTAGGGTTACTAAAAGTTAACGCCTGTGTCCTAGAAATCAGCAAACAATCGGTAGGTAAATCCATAGCTAAAAAGAGCTTTCACGATGTTTCTAGTTTCAAATATTTCAGACTTTCAGATCTCTTGGGCTCTTGCTATCATTGTTTGTGTAGTTTTTATGGTATAAATATCTATATATACTCTTTCATTTTTCAAATAGATAACCACTAAACACCTATATTGTGAACTGTCAATTGTAATGCGAAGCGGAATGTAATCTATGTTTTCATATGTATACCCGATACACTGCTATCTTCAGTTGTAAAATAACGTTAATTTGCAAAGATTTCACACATTGCTTGTTCCAGTTTATCTAGAAATTTTTAATTGTTAGCTTCACACAACAGCTTTAAGTATAATCTAAGTGTACTTGGAACCTACTTTGAGTGTGAAGGGTAAAATGTACCTCCCTCATCTTAACTTGGTGACCATGGAAACGTTCGTAGTTCAAAGAAGCCGAAGTTCGCTGCCAAGTATGGGCTACACAACACTTGAGAAAACACTTGACCAATAAGAAAGGGAAGCCATGTCACGATGTGCACGTGCAGCGGTTCAAAGATTCTAATGAACGGAGGGATTGACAGCTTTTACTTCAAGTGATATACTTTGTCAACAATTGTGAAGCGACGTTTTCTACAGAGCAACTTAAGATTTCTAAGAGCACTTGAATCAAGCGCTTACTTGAAACAAACTCAGCTTCTACTGTGAAGCCAAGTAATATGTTCAGACTTTTTGAAAACTAAAATGAAGTCAAGAATGCGAAATCGCGAAATTTAATGCCCCTTTTTCATATTTGGCTGTTGAAATCTCGAAAATAAAACCCCTCGAAAAACTGTCTCACCAAAATCGCGAAATTAAATACCAGTAAGGTACAAACGTTTAAATCTCTGTAAAAGACTCATTCATGTATTCAAAAAATAACACTGAGGAATCAAATGGTTTCGTAACTGCCTTGCTTTACTTTTGAAATTGTATTTAAACTCAGTTAACCGGTGAATACATTTGTTAAGAGTTTAACACGTTAGTTGTTTTACGATAATTTGCACTTCATTCTTCCCTTTAGATAATAATCACCCATTAACCACTATCAATACAAAAAGTTAACGTCTTCGCATGAACGTTAAATTTTTTCAAATGAATATCTGAAGGAACACTAGCCGTCCTAATCCAGTATAAATGGAAATTCCAGTAACGTGCAAACTGTTAACTAGAAACGGCTTGTTTAGAATGGACGTTTATGTCAACACAGCTCTTTAAATATATTGAGACATTATCAAACTCATTCATCGTATAAGTAAATACAGTTGGATCGACGAACAAGATCAAGTTGAGTCGGACTTTTGGTAAGGGGTAATCCAATTCACCCCAAGAAGCGTAAGATTAATTTTTCATATGCCAGTTCAGTTCTTGCATTTTTTTCAAGCCAGCAATAAAAATATATATATAGATATATAATTCTATATTTAAACAACTTAGGGATGTCATTAAAATGGGATTGTGTGCTTGTGCTTTCTGTCTCCATGGTAATTGTAATTCGGTTTGTCAGTTTATTCTACTTAAAGTTTTCAATTTGACATTTCTTCCGCTGACTACTTTTTATCAGTTAATCGTAGTATGCAAAGAAAGAAGTGGTTTCAATTCCAGCCAGAATTATGAAAATGCGTCGATCACTGACGGTTCTATGTCTGAAATATTGAACGTTTAGTTGAGGCCATAGTCCAAGATTGGGGAAATTTATCGAAATGTTTTTATTTTAATTAACAAAACAACTTTCTTTAGCGGTGATTATTTGACGTTCTAGTTTCGCGCGAAAACGACGTACTCAAAACATGTGCTCTTGACTAAAACAATAACTTTACACCTTCATTTATTGTTTTCCAACGCAAAAGGGTCACTGAGAAAGCCTTTCTGTAACTAAGTTACTTCACTCTAATGCAATTTTTTTGGGGTTTATTATTACAATTTAGGCCGAGGACAAAAGGATCTTTAAGATTTTCCTTGCCAATTTGGTACGTAATTTTTTTTATAGTACTATACTATATAGGGATATAAAAACATCCATCAAATAAAGAAGCAACAGGATAAAGTATAAATGGCAAATATATATTTGAATTGATTTATACTGAAGGAGAATGATGACTCAACACTGTATTAACGATCCAGAAAAGGTCTCTGAAACCCAAAAAACCTTGTTATCAGAACGTGAAAACCTTGAAGGAAACTATTTACTCTCATAAGAAAAAAAGGCCGAAAAAAAATAAAGGAGAAACGTCCTTTTCAGACAACAGACAGGTACAGCCGGTGATGGTCTTTTAGCGGCGTTTCAAACTACTTCACTTAACGTTCTTAAACAGAATACTTAATCATAAAAACCGCACATGAAACAAATAACCAAAAGAAAAGCCCTAACAGGAAGTGTTGGCAAGTGGAGCCGCAGCAGTCATAAAGCGGTCATACCGCCTGTGCGCTCCAACATTTGGCCACAAAATTTGAAACCGTGGACAAAATCCGAAATACCATTGAGGTAAATTCTCTTACGCAGTTCTCTTGCACGATACGTTTTGTTCCTCAGTATTTTATAGCATGAAAAAGTCAGTGTACGTGGGCCGGCACTCTTGGACACAGTACGTCAACTGCAATGACGAAAATGCACACCCTTCCTCGCCTTTTTAAATGGTGGTCAAAAGGCTGGTTGCAACATGTTTGATTTCCCCCGCAGTTCCCGCCTTGATACTACGCAATGACGTCTTTTCATTTGTTTGGTTTAACTGGACGTTTTAATATCAATGTTTGTGCGTTAATGGACAATTCCAGTAAATCATGTGTTGTCTCTTAGAAACAAGCAATTCACTCGAAAACGAGACTGAAAAAAGGGTTTAGAGAAGTCATAAACTAAAAAAAAATTATGTCTTTAATACCCTCTCTGTTACTGTCGCCTTAAACACAAAGTACAGAGCTTTTTATTCTTTCAATTTACACCAGATACACTAAACTATGCCTAAATAAACATTTGCCACAACTATTCTAAAACACGGCAATGTCTTGTACAGGCGTATACAACAGAAGGAACAAGTGCGACTGACCTAAAATCCCACAAAACGTAGGAACCGCGAGTAATTATTATTTCACTACTTACAACTGCAACAGCTGATTCAAGTGAAACGATATGAATATAAATTAAATAATTATGCTCTTAAATATATAGTACAAATTAATGATTTATTTAGTCTGTAAGTCACTGGAGACGATACCAAAGGAAAATGCGAATTAGATTGTGACCTTTTTTCCTGTTTCGCTCATAACTTCGTTATTTCGGGCTTGAAAAGCTATCAAATAAATATTTCGCGCTTCATCATAGTCAAACTTTTCATGCGATTTGCTTTTTCTCCATCATGCCAGTTAAATGTGTCATAAATGAATAATTCGATTGATATTGGGTGCAAATAGATTTGTGGGTGAAAATGCCGACCAGTTATTGAACTTTTCAGACATGCTATATCATTAATCATTGCCATTTTTCAAAAACGGAACTGATTTATGACAAAAGAATGAACGAACCTCGCTTCATCGGAAGTAAAGTTTTGCAATTATCTGTCCGAAAAAATTTTTGGAGGTCTTCATGTTTATTCTTGGACAACATTGCATTCAAGAATTTTAAACCCGTAGCGTAATATTCAAAAGCAATTTTGCTAAAATTCTTGTTGCTGAATTAAACCAAATAGTTTCCTGTCTAATATTTTAGTTGCGCGTGGTCGCAACTTTGTCGAAAGTGTATGAGTAAAATTCTCGCTCTTCATTACATTCCTCTTTTGAAAACTCTCTTAACTTGCAATTGTGTAGCTGAAATCATTAACATTTTACCAGTCTAATAAAAGAGTAGCACAAACAAGTAGCACTTTTAAAAGTTCCTGTTTGTTTGTTTGTTCTTTCTACAGATATTTAGCTAAGTTCTATTTATACATTTTTGTTTAATTCTTGTAGTTTACTACCCAAATAGGGTGGAAATGATTAAATTCTGTTCTTGAGAGTGTCATTGTGTGGCTGCGGACAGCTCACACCACTCTTTGATGCTAGAGTTTTCCATATGTTCTTTAGCTTTCATTCTCAAAGCGGCAATACTCGTTGTTCTCTCGTCTCTTGGTCCCTGGGACATTCCAGCCATGCACCCAACACCCGATAAATACGACGAGAATGGTACATAACCAGCAGGGGAATACGACCCAGGATAACATCCCATTGTCGGTGACGACGGCAAGTTACAAGTAGTTGGAGGGTATAACGTTCCGCCAAAGGCTGGGGAATACGTTAAGGAACTTTTCCATGGGTCCGGAAATGGTAAACTACTGAAATTAGCACGAGGTAGCGTCGGTGATGGAAGGTTTTCAAGGGAGGCCATCTCCATTTTCTCTTGTCGTCGCCACTTAGCTCTTCGGTTTTGAAACCAGACCTGAGAAATAATGTGGGCATCACATAAATTGAAGGAAAAAAATTACAGTCACACACAAAAAACAAATGGAAAGAAGTACGTTTCAAGCACTACTCCAATATCTTGTCAGTAACTCAGTAAAAGCGAAGATGATAACTGAGAGATTAAACAAAATCTCAACCAATAATAGGTTGAATCTTGAAAGTTTTAAAGCGAAGCATTAATCCTGGAGTAAAGGGGACGTTATCATCTATAAACATAGCTGAGAAAACTATAAAGGAAAGCGCATGTTCTAAGATATAGATTTAACACAAGTACACATAGCTTTCTAACCAATAGTTTACCGTTCGCGAATGTGTATAACAGATAAAAAAGACAACAAAACAATGAACACTAGACTCTTGTCGGTTGTTCAACAGATAAAAGTAATCACTTGTATTCCACGTAGGCGTATAAATTAAGAACTTAACCGGTTTTGTTATCAAAAAAATCGTAATATGGAGTATAATCAATACGAACGCTGTGAGGCGACAATTACTTGAATCTTTAAAAGCGTCGGAAAAGAGCTGTCTTTAAGTGTCTTCTTTTATCAGTTTTAAATATTTTTTGCACTTTAAATGAAGATTTCCTAAATTATACTGGAGATAAAGAGAGCTTTGAAGAGAAAATGAATCACTTTGTTCCTTGACTTCCGAGTTGCCTGCAAACTTTTTCCAATTATGAGTAAGATAAAGTTTAAATTGAAAATTTACAGGAAATAAAACAAATGCAACAAAGAAACACCCAGGATAAAGAAAAGGACTTAACATTACAAAGTAACTTCGATTAAAATGAACTTCATGTTTTGCTGGGCTCACAGGCGCTTTGGCGACACACGTATTTCACTCACGGCGTGAAAATGAATTTTACTGGACCTTCGTAACTGATAATAATGCGTCCTAATTAAGCCAAATCACACTTTTACAACGAAACAAGAAAAATATACATTAAATGACGGATTTTTAGTCGTCGACTTTTCGTGAAATGATTAATGCGCCACTAAGTACCGCTACTTTTCCCCATCGTCTTTTAACGATTCTCGAGAAAGCTCTTGGTGCTCCAGCCATTTACAGTGATTTTCAGGGGGAAAAAAACCTCGAATTAACGATATAAACATGGCTCGTCGAAATGATGAGATCCGAATGGCAGTTTAATTAGACTTAATTCTGTCTTGGACACCCTCTGCAAACACTTTTTCTTGAGACGGGCATAGAATGTGGATTTCACACGCTGTCCGTTGTTCTATTGGATGTGCTATTGTCACAATAACTATAGAGAGTTATTATGAAGAACTAAGCACCCGCAATACGTTTGACACACTAATGGGTTTTTACAAGAGAGGTACGGCAAAACGAGAAAACAAAACAGTACCTACAGAGAGCGAGGTTAGATTGTCTGCTTACTATATTTGCGATTTAATGTCTAAAAATGCAACGAACGGTTTCTTTTTTCTGTCCAGCCTCGCCTGTTGCTAATGATTATGACATTAAGGATCTAAAAGTAAACTTTATCGCCAAAGTGTTCTTTAACTCTAACTCTGAATCAAAGGTTATTTTTATTATAATCAGTTTCCTGTCCATTATGAGGCTGTTTTTTCCGTTAATGTTCTTTTAATAATGATTAGGTCTTTTCGAGATAACCCTATCAAACCATGACGTTTAACTACACACACGCTTGTAATGGTAGCTAAACTTGTCCCTCCCCCCACTTGCCTAAGAAAATAAAATAGGTAAATAGATAAAATTAAAATGATTCGCTTCGCGTATCAGTAAGTCCCTAGTCGGTACGGAACCGGTTGTAACAATGATAAAACAGCGTCATCATCATTTTAACAACTTGAAAGCTAACAAAGCGTTAGTGATATTATGTTCTCCTGATGAAATTTATTTACAAAGCTAGATAATAGAAAAAGTACACAAATTAAGATCGTTTGTACCTGTACTCGAACTTCGGGAAGGTCAATTTTTAGTGCCAATTCCTCCCTTGTGTACACATCTGGGTAATGTGATTTTTCGAACGCACGTTCAAGTTCGTGGAGTTGAAAGGTCGTGAAAGTAGTTCGGTTTCGTCTATGCTTCTTCTTCCCTGGTGATCCGTCGTTACAGTCATCTGCCCAACACAAAAGAAAAGAAGTTGTTTAGGTTTTCTTAGGAAGGAAAGTACGTTGTTTAGACAAATTGACAAAGTTTTCAAAAGTGGTCACTTCACTTGGACATTATAAAAGCTCAAGCAGGCCTACCTTGTGGTTCGCTGTTTGAGTCCTCGTAATCCGAGTCGCGATCGCTGTGGCTCCCTTTAGAACTCGTAGGTGAGTTGCACTTTCCCTCAGCCTTTCGCTTCAAATTTGAACTTAGGAACTGGCAGACATCGTCAATGTTTTCGCTGTCTGTCTCGGTGCTTTTCAAATCGCTCTTGTGCGGTGCTGTAGAATCTTTCCCGATGGGAGAACTCATCTTGGTCATAACTATCAGAAGGTCCGAGACGAAGCACCAACTAATCTATCGTCCCGCAATCTATTAACAAAATACTTGGTCCGCTCGTGCTAACAGTGAATTAATAATACTAGGCGGGTGAAATAATGCTTAAGATATCTAGATAACAAAGAGACGTCCAATCACGATACAGAACTCAATATTTTCTATGTTCTGATATTGTATTGAAATTGCCTGCTTGTTTGTTAGTCGTGACAGAGCGGTGATTACTTAAGAAAGGCTAATCGCTAATGAACGCAACCAGGGGAGTGTGAGAAGAACACATTAGTGAAAAGAAAGAGGTGCTTATTTTGATTGACAATAAATAATCACGGTGCTTTCATTTCGTATTCAACTGTTTCTATGTTAGATGGAACGTAGCAGTGACTAAAGGCGTTAGCAAAATGGACAGAAAAGAAATTAAATTATAATAAATGTCATATACTTTTAAGAGAAGCTTTGGCATGTACTCTGCCTTATTCATGTCGACGATTATAAATTGTAATATCTGAGAGATATTCAGGCCGGTACGTTCCTTTTCTTCTTTTTTTATTATTTCATTCAGCACAGACCTAGTGATTCCGCCCCACCAAGCAAACCAAGGAAACGCGGTTTGTAAGCTCAATATTGGTTTTCAAACATTTAAAGAAACTGAATAATTAAGTGCATGAGTTTTGCTTGCGTGTGATCAGTGTTTGCTGTTTAAGTGATTTACTTTAATCACAGGACTATAAACATACTACAAAGGGATATTGGACGGAAAAGGTGTTCGGCGCGCACGACATAAAGAAATATCCATCTATTCATTGAATGATCTGAGAATGACCAACCTTGCTTGTAGGTTAAGACGGTAAGACATACGGTTTTTACTTACGCGCAAGTCATCGGAATTAGCTTAAACTTAGCCTAATGTGCTTGTAATTAATGGTTATTAACTGCAAGACGTGGTAATCCTCTGATAGTAATAAAGTTGAAATCGTTAAGTAAAGTTAACGGTCTCGAAGGAAATCGGTCGTCAAGTGAACTGCGCACGCTCAGAATCTGGATGGCACGTGTAAAATAAGTGAAAAATCTAATAAATCTCGGCTTACTTTTCAATTGGTGAATTAAAGAAGAAATTCCCTACAAGCCGCGAAGGTCTTTGATCTTTTGAATGAACTGACGACAGCGTTTTCACTGTTGGACTGCTCTCATTTTCCTTCCACCGATTTCCGAGAGCGGAACAGCGCGTCTGTTTATCAAGATCTTGGATAAACTGTACCGAAATAATGATCAAGAAATACAATCCAACAACATAATCATAATTTCTATGATAACCAGTTCTTTTTCAGGTCGTACAATCTCTTTTTTCAAGCATTACTTTATAAATTGAGCGCGTGCTATTTATTGCCAAGGCGCAAATGCAATTTATTTTCCTATTAAATTGGAAAATCGACCCATTGTCTTTATCATTGTGTTCCCTACCTTTTTCATTAACAGATAGTTTAAAGAATGAGGGTGTAGCTATAGTAGCGGCCTTCAGAGTTGAAGGAAATTAAAATCAATTTTAATTAAGGTTCTTGTTAAAGTCTTCATTCATTTGACAGTTCTGGGACACTGACTAGATAGGACTGCTTTGCCGCCAAAGGTAATAAAATTAAATAAAAAAAGGGGGTTGATGAAATCTCTAGCTTCTTTCGAAACGATTATGATTGGATTTGCAATTTGACTGGAGCTTTGAACTTTGAGTAAGAGGGGTTTGTTTGGATGAAGAGATTTGAAAAATAAACAAGCTTTTTGAATTGCAATTTCGAGCGCCTCATGAACGTGTTTTGAAAAGCGATATATTGCGTGGATTTTGTTACGCTCGTGTTTCGTTAGATTGGCTTTTAAAACCGACCGACCCGCTAACTCATGCGGGAGACCCCTCAGTCTAACGTGATGAAGCTATATTTAACAAAGAGAAACTTCCAGCTTAGAAATGTGTGTGTTGGTGAATCATCATGAATCATGATCCGTTTTACCACAAAGGGAATTTTTAGGTCTATTTTTTCCAAGTTTCTTTTCTACTCACGTCAAGCTATTTTAACAACGGAAAGTGAGCGTTAAGGAAATTGTCGATGCGTTTTAGGAGCAACATTATATATATATTTAGCTAAAGGGATTCAGTCCATTCCTCTAAGAAAATTGGCAAAAATATCTCTCGGGATTGACGTTAAGCCTTTACACAAAGCCAGTAATCTTCGGGTCATCAAGCTTTATTTAAGATCGGTCTCCATATAGTAATTACATGCTGGCTGCCCATTTGGCCTTACTACGCGTTGAGTCTTTGGCAAACCGCGGGGTCCTCAATCAAATCATAGCCCGAGGGCATGATTCCACCCCCGAATTACGTTGTGATCATATCACAAGCTGCTTATTAATGAAAAGAACATAAATAGTCACTCTACTATATCTTAAATAACAATAAAATTATGCATTGTGTTGTACCAATCCTAACAAATCTTCGGCTACTTTACAATTATTATTATTATTACGAAATTACATAACTGCAAGAAGATGCTCCTTTTGTCGTTGTTTTAACATGCGATTGAAATATTTTGATGATTATGTGTAAATTGCCACGTACGTTTAACGTTAAGTTTTCCAGAAAAAATTCAAGGCCTTTAGTGTAAAACTTAGAATACTTTTTAAAAAACAAATGCCAGACAAAGATCAAACTTTCTGTTGCCGGCGCGTCAGATTCCAAGTGAAACAATCAATTTTAGTAAAATTGTCGTTCGAAACGCTTAACCCACATCTAGACTTAAGAGGACATTTCCATATTTTCATTAGTTTATTCTAGTGGAAAGATTAATTTTAAACCCAATGGAGTGGAAAATAGAGATCAAAATGGTTGTACCGGCTAGAAGATAGATATTTAAAACCAGAGGGCTGAGTGACAGGTTTCTCTGAACACTCGGTGAGCTTCCTATGTAAACGTATAGCGCTTTTTCTATTGATCAGGATGTTACTAGGACTAGCATCAAAGCTTAAGAAAAGAATGTTGATCAAATACATTCCCCCCATTTCTTGAATTGAAAATTGCATAAGAAAAAACGTCGACTTCTACGTTCTTTTACTTGATTCTGTTGCTGTAGGCGTTGTTGTTCATAAGAAAATTTACAAAGACGGTAACTTAAAATTCAAAATGCAACGAAACGTTTAAAAATTGATTAACGACTACCCTCTTCTTCTACAGACGGTAAATAAATACCTACTTTCTACACACTATTGATTTGCTGTTGTATTCAACGAAATGTAGTCATGTTTTCCTCCTAGTATCACAATATTTCTTCAACTTGGACCTTAAAAGATACCAAGAGGAAAACATGACTACATTTCATTGAAGACAACAGCAAATCAATAGTGTGTATAAAGTTTCCAATAAGGAAACTATGAATGTAATTTCTTGCTTTCGTGGGTTCTTCAGCCGGTTAAAAAAGAAAGCAATCTATCTTCCAAATAAACGTTTATAACTTACATAATATAAAATGAAACTCAATTGCAAAATTACGTATGTGTTCAAAAAATATTTTTCAAAACAGAATGAATTTTCTCAATAACCTGGCGATAGGATTTAAACGCAATTTAACGCTTACTCTAGTGCAGGTCTTCTGGCATCTTTTGACGCTGGAATAGTAATTTACTGATCAAACAGAACTGCACCACGTGAGGAGTCCATACCATATAGTTAAGACCTTTCGATGAAGTTTTCGTTGCACTTCGTACTTGATAATTAACTTTTTATTAACTTTTGACAGCTGCTTTGATCAATTTGCGTCAAACCCTTAAATAGTTCGTGATTTATTTTTTCCCTATAGTGATGCAAGAGTGATATATTCACGCTGGAAATGATGGTTTCTACCAAAACTTTACACGAGGTCACAAATAAAAGCAAATTTGACTGGATTATTAGCATCAATGGTCTTACCCGATTTTTCTTTTATTATTGTAGCCAGCGTACCCAGGATTCAGGAAGAATGAACCTGTTTGTATGTCCAATATTTTTGTTATGGTCCAAAGGCCTGTTTAACATCACTGAAAAAACTATAACTGTACTTGGAAACGAACCAAGAAAAAAAGAACGATTAAAACGTACAAATGGGACGTGCTATATTCAAAATGATTTCAGTGTGTGTTGGATGACGATAAAACATTCGAAAATTGTGGACATGAACCTTATAACGAGAGGTCAGAGGGTCTCTTTATCCTCTCTTCATAGATCAAAGCACCAGTTCATCCAGTTCTACACCTTGATTGGCAGATTTCCTGATGTTTCCCAAATTGACAATTTCAATCTATTAAACATGAAAGTTTGCTCTCTGGTCGATATATGGCATAACATGGCAAATTATTGTTCAATAAACTTTTTCTACAAGCCAAAGATCTTTTGCGTTCGGGAAGTTCCAAAATTAGAGAGAAATACGTTTTCACTAAACCAGATAATTTCTAATTTTAAAATCTCTTTAGCGAATATGGCAGAACGACTAACAGGACGACCTAATAAGCTTTCTTCTGTACTGATTATTTCACTAATATGTTACACGTAAAATTTTTCATTGTAGGTGGATGGAGCATAAGCGTAAAGTAAGTATATCGATTTATCTCGCTGGTTGAAAGTCTAGACGTTGACCCAACGCCGTAACTGTACTGGCATACCACTTATCTATACGTAAATGCGGCCTTATGTTCAAGTGCTTTTCTTCTTAAAGACGCTATACTCGAGCCCCGCCATAACTCTCCACCATTAGGAATACTGCATTGAATATCTTGAAGAGATGGCGACGACGATATTGGCATCTCTCTGGTGCCAACGAACGGTTGTTGAAAGGTTGGCTGAGCTGGCGAGTTCCCTTGTTGTTGAATGGACATGCTCAGATGCGACCGAGGCATAGACGACTGGTGTGAATACGATTGCTGGAGTACATCGTGCCCAGTCTGTGCGAATGGATGGTGCGGGGGCGATAGCGGTAGAGAAGGAGTGGTAACTGGCGCCATTGTTGGCATGGCTGTGCCTACTGTGGTGGGCCACCTGTGGTCATTATGGAAGGTACATAGGGAGTCCGCTATGGGGCTTGGATTATATGCCTGTGCCATATGGGAAGGCAGAATGGGCGCTGGAGGACGGAGAATAGCCGCCGTCTTCTTGCGTTTTTTCCACTTTGCTCGACGATTTTGGAACCAAACCTACAAGGGAAAAACATGATGATCAGTTGGCTTGTCTTTTCAAAGAAACTATAGCTAAGTAACTTTCAAGGTTACAGATGGTGATGGTGATGGTTATTTGGTCGGGATGGGTGACCCACAGGTGTCTCGTTGAAAGGCACAGGACAGATTGACCCTTCCGTTGTACCAAGGAGACACCGTTGTAAGATCCACATCATTTTGACTTATTCCCTATCCACACCGTTTTAAAATGATATATATATATATATATATATATATATATATATATATATATATATATATATATATATATATATATATATATATATATATATATATATATATATATATATATTTTTTTTTATATTTAAATTTTTTTTTTTTTTTTTTTATATATATTATTTTTTTTTTTTTCTTTTTTTTTTTTTTATATATATATGTTTTTTTTTAGAATTTATATTTTTTTTTTTTGTGTGTTTTTTACAAGAAATATATATATATATATATATATATATATATATATATATATATATATATATATATATATATATATATATATATATATATATATATATATATATATATATATATATTTTTGAACAAGTTAACGCTGATTTGCCGAATCCTGTATAAAACCCAGTCTTCTCCCACTTATTTTCTTATTTTTTTAAAAAGGTCGGGTTTGATAAAATATGCCAGCTTTGTTAGTGTGAATGGGACATAAGAGGGAAACAGCATTCGGCTACAAAATAATATTATCACTACCTCAAGTACCTGCAAATAAACATTCGCAAAAAAATCCTACTTGTTGTCCTGCTATATGTTGTAAAACAAATAGATCCACGTAACAGTATCACTGGAAGGGTTTTATTTGATTGATCATAAAAACAGGATTCCTTAAACGGGCTCAAAAGTAAGACCGACTTGTTATGCCTCAGCTAAAATTGATCAGTAAGAAAAAACGTTTCTTCCCAAGGGCTCCAAATATAAAAAAATTAGGAAAAAAAAAAAAAAAACACTGCAACCGGCTATGTTTTGAGAAGAAAAGCTCAGTGAAAAATAACTCATATGTCACAATGTAGAGGTTCTTCTGCGATAGCTGTACATGGATTTTCACACTATATGTATCTCCAAACAACTAGAACTTGTACTTATTACATGACATATTTCCTTAACCAGGGTGCGTAGAGACTTTTGGATCCAAACTTCAAGATTTTTTTCCACAACAATAATTTCAGTTTTTTTGGACTCAAGGTTCTCAAATATATGATCAATAGAAACCTCGAAAGGAAACTATCAGAACCAATCTTTTCTCTTGATGTACTGCAAACGTAAAGTTATCAGGGTGCAATGCAGACATAGAGAGTTCTGAAACTTCTCATTCTACGAGAAAAATGCCCGTAACATTCTATGTTACAGGCGAGACTGAAGGAGATTTGACCACGGGAAAAAGTTCACTTACAAAGTACTTGTTGTAGCTTAGAAAAACTTCAATTTTTTTTACCATTTTTCCAGATTTTCTCTCCATTTACCAGACTTTTTTCAGTTTCGAAAAATTGCGTTGCAAATTTAAAGACGTTCAGAATTCAAGACTTTGCCGAACACTTAAATTTATACTTCTTGTATATCTATTATTTGTTTATTTTCAGTTTAACTTAAATTGAAAGAGTTAGACATTTCCATCTCAACGACTATTCTTCATATTATTCACAGAACGTGTTCTTCGAGAGACCTAATGTCAAATATCTTCATGAAAATTTCTCTTAATAAAGTGCTACCTTAATGGGGGTAAATTCATCCAAAATTTTGAACCTATTAACGATTTCTCGTCTTCGGTACTGTCCGCTTTCAGCGTAGCCATTTGTAGATACTACCTGCGGCGAATAAATTATTTTGACGATGTTTCCCCTTCATGAAAGCTCACTTCGCTGAAGGCCACTTTTACAACGTAAATACTGCATCATGATTTGCGAAATGTTAGCGCATGTTTTCACAATTCAAAGTTACTGTATATTCACTTCATTGGCAAAACATACAGTATCAGTAGCTTAATCGAAGTCGAACATCAACGAATACAAAAGTAAAACATGCCCCAATTTGTTTATAAGTTGCGCAAACTCCTGAAGAGACTATTAACTAACAAATTGATAAGAAATTTTTAACATACTAAAACTATGAATTCCTTCTTTTGGGAAAAATGCGACTCTTCTCAGCCGTACAATAAAAATAGCCTTGGGTTTTAAAAAATGCTTCGGAGTGAAAAATTTAATTTAAAAAAAGGACAGAAACCACACCTTTGTGGACGAAGCAATCTTAGTGGAAATTGAGATTGAATACTGTTAATTGCATTCTGAATACGCAGGATGAGCGATTGTTCTTGGTAGATAGCCTCTGATAGCGAAATCAAATTGCTATTTTCCTACACTCAGAGAGCGTTCTACGTAGGAGAGGAAACCAGGGCTGACAAAATTTGTTCCTAGAAAGCTGTTTAAACATACGAGTGAAGTTTTTAATTAATCTTCTTCGCGGCATTGTCGGAAAATGATTATGTCGATTTGCAAACAATTATTTCGCATTTTACAAGAAGTCACTTGAAATTTAACAAGCTCGGGTATTACAACAAACTAAACGTTATATTCTTTTTTTCCCCTACTCTAGAGACACTAAAACAAAGAATGAAGTATCTCAATCATTGTTAAAGTCACCTTCGTCACTTTTTTAATAAATAAGTGTTTTTCTCCTATGTTGAATAGAGCCAAAACAGAAGTGAGTAAGCTTTTACTTCGCCGACAAATCTTGGTTGTTTAGTTTTATCTGCAAACACAAAAAATGCTAATTTTGATGAAGTTTGCATTGGGCCTAACCAGCAAAAATAAGAAAGCAAAATATTCGAATTGGAAGGAGAAATTGCTTACATTAATAACAAAAACCTACGTCTGAGGAATTCGAAAAAAATGTTGAATGTTAACTTTTTCTATCAATAAGACAAGGCACCAATTTAACGGGAAAGAAACTAACTGTCCGTTGGGAATGTTAACAGTTAAAATGATACACTTGTTTGTATAAAAACGCACATGTATAACACAACTTCTTATCTCACCTAAAAAATAACTTTACAAAAAATACATGAAAGTACCTTATTGTATCGTTTGAAAGAGGTACCTCTTTAAAATCACACTGAAAGAAATTGGCGAGCCCCCCGTAAACTCAATTGCTTCTTAAGTCGCTAACAAAGTGAACTATTAAAATGATACTTTTGTTTGTATAAAAAGCACATGTATACAACACGACTCTTCCTTCGGCTAAAAACCGATGAAATAAGAAACTAGCAGGTAGTCGTATCGATTGAAAATAATTGTTTGAGGTATACCCGAGGAAATTGACTAACCCCACGTAATTTATTTCCTGAAGTTCCCAAAGATTTCTCAAAACTCGCAGCTGCTTCTTGAATAGCTATGACTAAAGATTTCTCAGAAAAACCTTATCACTGAAGAAACGTATCGGGTTTAACTGTGATTTTTACAAAGATTTGAATAGTCCGAAAATTATCATGACCCGGTACCCGTTCAGTTAACAAAGTGGCACCAGGTTGCCGCCTTGGGTACAGAAAATCAAGCATATGCTGTCCACCGTCGGCTTTCCTTATATTTACTTCTTTTTATTTCAAGACTCTCTTTTTATTCCTAAATATATAAAACCAACGATGGAAAACTTCAAGACAACCTTAATTTAAGTATCAACGGAGTCCAAAATTTCTCTTCGCAAATATGGAAAATATGGTGATGCTTTGTTAGCAAAATTCACACGCATCTCCTCTCAGGTTTAAAATACACCACCAAAATAAAAGTTATTTCTAGTTTTGTTCCGTTTGAAGCTGTTTAGCTTTGATGATTAAGAAAATTATTAGCTAAATTTAAAATATAATTCTTTAAATATGTGAAGTAAACATTTTTCGCGGGGCTGGCAAAGGGAAATGTACACTTTTTCTTACGTTGCACGTTTTTCTAAGGTGTAATCCGGCATAAAAACTTTTGTACCATTTACAATCCGTATTCAATCTATCTTCAATTTGTTTTTAGTTTTAAGATTGCGTTTGCCACGGATTTGTTAGAATAAAAACCGTGCTTTATTATTTGCCGACAAAGGATTTCTACTTAATAACCCCAACTGAACATATAGTAACATTCTTGCTGGCGAAGCCGGCCCTTTTCTCACAATATTCCATCTTTGACATCCACCGCTTAAGAGATTTCTCGCCAATCGTCGTTAATAAAGCCATTAAACCTTCAATAACTTGTAGCGCAGTGATCAGACAAAGAGCCAAGGAAATACTCAAATCCTTGACGACAGTGCAGTGATTTACTTCTATTTTAAAACTTTCGGTTTTATTTTTTAAACGAGCAGAAAAGGCAAACAATAGACTTGATGTTTTCATTTTACACTTTGATCAACCCGGCGTAACCTATCGATACCTCTAAAGCAAACACGGATCTGTGCCGCCAATGTGCCGACCGCTATAGAATATTTTGTACAATGGTTCAGAATATATCCCGGTAAATAATTTTGGTATTGCCTCGGTGTTCTGTACCGCCGCGTGTCTGGCTTGTCGCAGTGAATCAAATCCCTTTAACACAGCTAAGGTGCGCAAATCCGCGTTGAGTTTCTTGGTGTACAAACTTTTGTGTCAATAGCAGTTAAACTGCACAGGCGTCATTTTTAAATGAAATGTGATTTAAGGTTACATTTAATATTTTCTGGTTCTATTTCCTTGCAATTGACGATTAATTTAAGTTTTACAACGAAGCTTAAGATTTAAGTAAACTGTTTAGGTTTTTCTTTCTAGGGGTCAGGGTCGTTCTCTGCCTTGTGTCATGATCATTGCCAGAAGCGCGGGTTTGTCACGCCTAAAAATTAACCACCCATGGAGTGAGCTAATATTTTCAATTTAGTACGACTTGTTCAAAACAATTTGCCTACCCAAAAGTACAAGCGTCTTTTCTTCGCGATAACGTATACACAACACAATTTTTTTATGTTCAAACACAGAGTACATTTAATCTACGCGTAACATTTTGGTTTCGACGACAAGAAAGATTGAGGCCCTAATTATAAAACTCTTTTCCAAGAACCAATCTATTGAACTACCTATTTACAGCAAAACAAGGAATAACAGTCAAGCATCATATACTAATACGTTTTTAGTGACTTTTTAATTCAGTAGTCGTTCAGCGAGACGCGAAAATAACATAATTGTGGTTATGACTCTGGTTCCTTTGTATTCCTAATCATTTAGTTCTCCGAACAATCGCTCAGTACAATACGAGTAACCAAAAGAGATACGAACCCTGGTTTTGCAGTAATTATCTTTAATTTCATTACTGACTACACTGAGGAGAACCAGCAAAAACAGAAGTGTAAATTCGAATGAAAGGTCACACTAAAAGAATCCTCCAAAAAAATCAGTGCGTTTTCCAAACACGACTTGGTGACCAAAAATAGACTTCTCAGTACAAAGTAGCTCAAAATAGCGGATTTTGAACCATGCCAAATATTTTTTCTAAGTAAACAGGTTTTGATGCCCGGCACGGTTTAATTCTAAGGCGGTTTTGAGGTAATCCACTTCTTAAGTTCGCTGTCCTTTATAAGTATGCGGCCAAGAACACGCTGAAATGAAAAATGTAATTACAAGAGAGCTAAGCGAACCCGCCCGCCTTTATAGGTATTCTAATTATATTGAAAAACACCGGTCTTTGCTTTGTCTTTCAAATCACTCTCTCCTCTAACGAGCTCCGTACTAGTCTGCCTTTCTAATACGCAACACTGTTTCTCCTGGAAAATGACTTCATGAAAAATGTTTAAAGTTCTACCTGAAGCTAACTAAAAGCTTGACAAAATGTAGACCAGAATTTATTAGCTCCAGGGGCAAATTAATATCTTGCATGTGACTTTTCAATTTCACGTACTATAATGTGAAAGTAACCCTAAATAGTTTATAGAAGTTTTTCTTTCCTTCGTTGAAGATAAAACTATGTTTACAAAGTTACAGTACATATAACTTTACCACAGATATCGATAACATTTTGTTTTTCCAGAACCAAAAACCACTTTATATTTCTAGAAGGAATTTTCAGAACTAAAGTAGAATTCAGCTGTCCGCGATCAACGCGCAGAATGTATTGAAACAGGTGTTTATAGGCGAGATGTAGTACCTCATTTCCATCGTTTAATATCGAATCTGCGATAACCGAAATTTGACAAGCTTCGACACTCTAATGTAGTATCAGAAGAAGCCAAGAAAAACTTTCCAATTACCCCGACAGCAAAGTCAAAACAGAAAAGAACACCTCCACTCTGCTAAAATACTTGAAAGTAATTATTTCTACGCCGGTGTAAACACAACTACGGTTGGCAAATGCAACACACTGTTTCGAGATAATAGTTTCCATTTCAGCAGCACCCATTATTCACTTGCACTTCTTAGACATAATAGCTTGCAGATAAATTTTAAAAATCACGAGAGGGTTTTCCGTTTGGCTCACTTCATTAGAATTTCCAATAGGTTTATTTTGGCCATTGCTATTGAATATGTTTTTAATAATCTATTCATTGTGTACATTCAGAGATGTGTGGTCTACCTTCTCTCTGAGAGTTCTACCACGCCAACGGTCAAGCGCTCGGGAAATAGGGAATCAACAGGAACAACCCACGGTTTGCAAACCCATCTATCTTTCCACACGGTTTATAATCATTTGACGAGAAATTTAGCCGCGAGGGACGTGCCATTTCTCGCTCGCTGAAGACCACCGGTAAAGCGTATCTCAAAACAAAAAGCAAATTAATACCACAAAGGCAATTCTTGTTGTGTCCGCGATAAAAATAATAAATCGTTCTCGCAGCAATAAAAATTTGATTTCTTCTTGCAAATATTGCTCGCTTACTGACATAATTCCCCGAGACAGCGTCTTTGAATTGAAAGGTTTGTGCTAGTCTTTCCGCAGTGTGAAAGTGATTAGGGCGAAAAGTATACAAATATATCATTACAGCCGGAAAAAATTGGTGGCGGCGTAAACGATTTTATCATTTAACAGAAATCAGATACTAAACTCTAACTAGCTAACGTCTGCCCGCTTTGTACGACTAAGTTGCTGGGAAAAAAGTGCCAAAGATTAAGAGGTATTTATACGGAGGAGCGTTTTTGTTTTTCATCTCAAAACAAACCGTTACATAAACTTCATTATGCCAAAAGATCCTTAAACTGCTATTTTTCTCCCACTGATATCGAGTTAATCATATATTGCCGGTCTTTAACATTTGTACCTGAACTCGCGATTCTGTCAGTCCAATCCGTGCTGCAAGATCTTCTCTCATAAACACGTCGGGGTAATGCGTGCGAGCGAAGCATCTCTCGAGCTCGTTCAGCTGGGCTGGAGTAAATCGAGTGCGATGTCGCTTCTGTTTGACGCCTTGGGTATCACTGCCCTTTCTATCTTCATCATCTAGAGAAACAGTATCAATCCTCTTGTGCTCAGTTGGGGAGCCTTTGCCGTCTATACAGCCGTTCTTGCCGCTATCTGTTAAGGCAGATATCAAGTGAATTAAATTAGAAGGAGCTCTCACTCAAGTCATTAGAAAATTTATTTTTTATAATACTGAGTTAATGTGAGTGATGAGTACAAAATTTTCGAAGATTTGTTACCCTAACAAGATAGCCCCTACCTGAATCTTGATCATTTAGCTCGCCGTTGTGATTCAATATACCAACGATTGAATGCTCCAAACTTGGAACCAGCTCCAATAAAGAGGACGTAGTATGGTCTTCACGATGATCCAAACCCTGAGCTCTAGCCGTACCGTGAGCGTCGCTCGGTGGCTCCATTACTAATCTTCTGCGATTCTGCCAAACTTTCGGCCTTCTTTGTAGAGTGCTTATTACCTTGGATTTAATATCTATAGTCGCGGCTAGCCAATGAGCGCACGCCGTGCCGCTATTTTCTAATAAAATTATGTCAGGTGTCACCACCGGATCAGAAAGCATGTAAGCAAATCACTTTATATTAATATTTAATTGTGCTAATTGAACATGAGAGCATGGCAAATTAAGCGCCCGTAATATAATTTTTTCGCCTTTCAAAGCGCCATCTTCCAGCGGCTCCCAGTGCGTTTCGTGCTCGACGTGTGTAATTAGTAGGAATTTTCAAGCGCGTTTCGCAAGCCGGTTCCTCTCCATGTCACACTCTGGCCATGTAGCGCGAACAGTAATTCTCTTAATTAAGAAGCATTTGTTTGTGATGAAGTATTTTGGCTTTCAAATAATTGTTCAAATAGACCGTGATTAGACGAAACTGAATCGTCATTAACGTGATTAATAAAATATTAATTGTTAATTATATCGATAGTAGTTGCTTTCTCCAGCTCGAGGCTTTGCACGGGGAACGATGCATGGAGTTCGACATCTTGGCGTCAGAATTAATGTGATTTTTTCTTTCATTTTTGACCAAAGAGTTCAATTGCGAGGTCGTGTTGCCCTGGGCAGGGAATATATTTGCTAGATTTCCCCTTCCGTGTGCGTTTCCACGAAACACGCGGGAGGCAGACCCACACTTCCCCCATGAAAAAAGATCCTGTAGAGCGACCAGTGAGGAACAAAAACACGACTCGTGCCGAGCTATAACAGCCCCTTGATCTTTGACAAACTCTTTTGTATTCATTTTCTACACATGACTGTTTCTTCGTTTCCCTAATTACTCAAACATGTTTAGCTTACAGCTTTTGTTCTCAAAGAAAACTAACATTTTCGTATGGTTTTCAAATAATTACCGGCCCGCGTGTGATCGTTGAAGAGTTTTTATGTGGCATTTAACTGAGGGCCTCCTACGTAGCAGAATTCATGACATCGCGAATAAACTGCTTTTTAACATTTTGCAGTCGTAAATATCGAGTGGCATCTTAATCACCGAAAAGTATTGAATTGATTGTTACTTCAAAACAACTTTGAAAAACGTTCGCACATCATTTGCAATGAAAAGGAAGTCACTTAATCACTGACGACAACTTTGCTTGCAAAAACACAATGGCTCTAATGGTACGAAGAAAGGCTTAAGAGATACCAATAACGTTTGCTAGTGTGAGAGGAAATCCTTGTACAAACTAGGCCAAATGTGAATGAGTTTTTCTTTATGCGTGACAAGCATAAAGTACAAAAATATATACTCTGTGTTTCTGGCGGCAGCTGCGTGTATGCGAGGTGATTACTTCGAAATTAATAAAATTTTCTAAATTGTGCTATTAACATTTTTGCATAGTTATTATTTTCATAGCTTCAATGAATTCTGCAAATGTCTCTTTGGAGCTGAGATATGTTGCAAAGTTTCTACAGTCGCCAAAGAGTTGGCGACTTTTGGCGATTTTATTACTTTTTCACTTTACTTATTGAAATCCCTGATAAATATTACATTGTTTTCCTTTGCGCAGAAATAAAAATGTACTATACTAATTCGCCAAATGAATCTTTAGAAAACTAATTTATCTGTAAATTCGAGACGATATCCGAAAGAGATAAGATAATGTGTCTAATTTGGTTTCTCGTGAATTTAAAAAATCTTTTTTAGACAGCTAGTACAGTAAAAGTTTACAAATATGCCGAAGCTCACGACATAACGGCTAAATTCTTGTCTACTTTCAAACTGATTTCATTTTTCACTTTCCTCAAAAAGAAAAGAAAGAAAGAGAGGAGTGGCGATCAGCTGGGAACGCACGCAGGCAGAGATCGAATCTGGCAAACGAAAGCAAAGATTTTCGGATTTGTGTTAACAGAAAGAGAGCAAATTTCAAATACCAATCGCGGAGTGGGCTCGAAAGACAAATCAGTTTGCTTTTCATTAAAAGTAGTTTCAATTACTCCCAGGTTTGTCGGTCTCCATTTTTTTTTTTAGCCTAAGGTGGTATGAGCATTGCACTGAGCCAAGAGATATTCATTTTTCCCTAGTTATTTGGGGTCGAGGCTTTGATCAATTATTAATTACCACGAAATTTAGTGATTAGAATGTGTTCGTACAAAGAATATAATAAAAACCGCGTGCTTCAAAGGACAGTAATAAGAAGCAACTTTTTAATGCTAAAGATATCGTCATCGCTTTGTACAATAAAAATACGACATTTTTAATACAATTACTTACTTTGTTAAAGATATAAAGCACCTACGTTTATTTTCTTCAGGGCTAGTATCCCTTAAAAGTATGCTTGTTATCATTTAAGGTAATTGGTACAGATCGCGGACTACGAGTTGTGAGATGTCATGAAACTTTATTTGCATGCTCATAAACGCTTCCGTGAGACATTTTGCGACTACACACGACCGCTTAAATTTGCTATTTGAGTATTTCCGATCCATTGTTCCGACCTCAAACCAGCTCTTTTGATATTACAAACACGGCAAAGTGTTCTTTGTTGACAAGAAAACAATTCGATATTTGAATAAGAATCTCCCGGTATGTGAGTCCCGGTTTTTTCACGTAGGCCGCTAAGCGACAATGGCCGAACTTCGACTGAATTGCAATTACGTGGGCCGGGTGAGGAATTGTTGTAGCAAAGCAAGAAGCGACCTTCGTGCGCTATTCGTAAAACGTGGTCTCTTTGTGTTTGTTGTGCTCATGGCAGAAGATTTTGTGTATATTTAGCACCAGAGTAGATTATCATTTAAATATAATTAATCTCTAAAGAAAGAAAAGCGATCGGTCGGGAAAAATAATCGAGAACTTTCGTTCATAAAGACCTCTGTGCCCTCACGCTACACTGTCGTGGTGTCCACCTACTTTCCCGCCAAAAAGACTATTGTTATTGAAACCCCCTTCCGCCCTTACTAAGTCACGGATTGGTATTTTGGTTGAATAAAGTGACTGCAATTTGACTTTTGAGCGCGAGACAGGTATCCGGCTTTAAAGTAAAAACACAAAAGAGATTCCAAAATAAACTCCCGTTATTTCAGAAAAAGAAACCCAAGGCAGCTAATAAACTATTGTTCATACCTTCTCACCGTTTATTTTCATGGATTTTGGAATAAACGTTTCGATTATTACTTTAGTAATATCACATCAATCCCTTTGCAAAACCTTTCTCTGAAGCTGCTCGATTGCTCGCAATTTACTTACACGCGAAGCTAAACTTGACTAATGATCGTTCTCCCTAGCGACGTTTTCGCTTTTTAATAAATTCAATTTATTCTTCATAGTGATTCGGGTACTGCAACAATCTATTCATTTTCAGGTCCTTAAAAACCAATATGTCTGATACACATTAAGCAATTTCTTTTAAAAACTTCACGGTGTACTCTAAACTATTTATGGGTTCTTTTATGGGGACACAAAACGAAATCTATATTATTGAGTTAAACATTAAATTAAATCAAGAAGACATTGAATGTCTTTTAAACTGATTCTTAGGAAAGAAGGGGATTCAAACAACCGACGACTGCTTTCATTCTTGGGAAAAAAGGCTTTGAGAATGAATCCTTTACAAGCGGATACAAAGGATGACGAAAATGACTGTCAAAGAATGAGCCTGTAATTCTGAAAATAACAGACCATGTATAGGTGATTATGACAATCTTTAAATCAACCGTGTTCCTAATGGATTGGAATTTCTTAAACTACGCTGAACAAGATCCATTTCGCGGTTAATCATCGGATATATACATGTCTTGCTTTAATTTTTGTATGTTTTGTTCATTTTATCGTTTATAGATATATAGTACCCGTGGTAAAACAGCCAATATAAGCTGACCTATATCCATTGCAGACTGGCAACCCATTGTATCAGCCATGCTTTATTCTTAAAGAAAGAGAGAAGAAAAGATGCATTGCTATTTCACTCTTTGTATGAAAACAAGCGTATCTGGGTATGTTTACAGTAAAGTATTGCCAGAGAGACCATCCTAACGTGAGACGGTAAGGCTATCTCTTTGTCTGTTTAAATTACTTTACATTTTACTTAGTATTATAGTATTTTTGCCTTTATGCAACACATCGCAACGTCGATTACCTATAAATTCCCATTGCGATTTTTGCGTAAGTTTAACGATATGAGAGTCAAGATTTTGCTCACATAATTACATATAGCCTTCTTCTAAATAACATTATTTTGTAATTTTGTAATTTTTTTTGGTCCTCTTCGATAGAACATCTCCCTTATCTTCGAGATTAAATATAAATGTCTTGGAGACCACATATCTTATATATTCAGTTCGAAGCTAAGCAAGGTCACACAAAAAATATTAAAGCATCTGATCGAAGAACTGAGCACTAAATACGAGTTGAAACATCGACTTTAAGGAAAGAGCAAAATGCTTATGGTGTTCTGATAGCTTGTAGCAGAAAAAGGGAGCTTAAAACAATAGGGCGACGGCTAAATACTACGAGGAAGTTCAAATCAAAGGAAAAACATCATGTGAAATAATCTCGTACTCTTGCCTCGGGGCAGGTGGTATGAGCACAGAAGGCAGTATTTCGCGACAGCACGTCGCTTGCGCACACTTTTAATTCTTAAATATCTGATTTAAACCCAAGTGAGTTCACGGCAAGCAAAAATTGAGGTTTAACCCTGCCCGGTACGACACAGCAGTCTACGGAAAGCTAGATTTCCCAAATGCTGTGAACTCCGAAGTCGTTGGAAAAACAAAATTGAAAAAACCTTTGAAGAACTACACTGCCTTATTATCATAAATTTTTGTACATTTCGACAACCATCCCAAACGAACATAAATTCTAAAGTTTTTCTAAATTCGTGGAAGAATACACCCATATGTTTTATTTTTGTCAGAATATAATTCAGCGTTTTCCTTATCGACAAGATCTGCAGACGCCACGAGTTTTTAACTATCTCATTTGTCATAAACAGTTTTTTTTGGCACTTGCTGATAATGTAAATCTACTATTTCATGATATTGTCCCCTCGAAACACGTAACGACTATAAATAAGGGTTTTAACACCTGCCTGCGGTTTCTAAGACTCCTATCAGATCTGCATCAATTCTCGTTTTAT